ATGTATCATTATCGTATAAAAATATATGAACATATAAAATTAACTTATTCAAGCCATTTTCATTCTTAAATAACAGGTAAATCTACTTTTCATATATCAATTAAACATATAATTTCCATTTCATTTCGATCAAAAACCCAATGTATAATAGATGAGAATGCAATGTACACGAGTCATATAAATGAGTGTATTGCATGTAGTATAACTGCCTATGAATAAATTGCATATTTAGTGCCTTGTGAATCAATTGCACCATAGGTGCCTTATAACTGGTTTGCACATATAGTGTCATGGTTGTACAGGTACTGTAGAACAAACAACATTGTACCTGTAACCAGGAATACAATGCACTAGCATTCTATATGTGAGACAACATATCACATATGTGCCATCAAATTTATCTATTTCTTTCTATAATGTACACGAATGTACCTATGCAGGATCAATCGATAAAAATTTCACCTCATGGAATGCCAATTGTACCAACAAATCTCAATGCGCACAATGGGTTTTTTAACAAATTTCTATACTATTCACTTATCAAAGTATCATATATCTCTGAACTAGTAGTTCATACCCTAAAATATTTTGTAAACATAAAACCATTTTTATTAAAGCATTATCGAAATATACCATAATATAATTCAAACATTTTGTTTTGTTCATTCGAAGTTGACTCATCGTAAGTCATCCTTATATATATATATATATATATATATATATATATATATATATATAATTAAAATGCACTAACCTTAAGCCTCACTATTAAACCTTTAATGTCGATAGACCTTCACTTTTGTACTTGTTCCTTATCTTTTGACTATTCTGATTTCATTTTACATGAGAATTGATTTACACAAAGCACACATTTCAAATCACATGATGGTACCTTTACTAACATGATATGTGCATATTAACATAAAAATTGCTAGAAATGAAATAATGCATATTTGATAATAATTCCATTTCACATTATCAATGCTAACTTAAACTCATTCAAAATAACATTTCAAGTCCCTAAAATATTCATCCTTGATAAGAGTTCACAAGACTTTTCAACATTTCACATTTAACCACTAATAAGCATTTCTTTAAGAACCATCCTAAAATTTCAAATTTATTAAAAATGGTCCACTTCCATTTCACCTTAAATTCAATATCAATCACCAATCTCAAATATTCCATTAATATATTCAAATTAGTGCATCAGCATTTGATTAATTTTCATTTATTTCCCTAATTTTCCAATATATTTATATGGTCCAACTTATAAATTCCAAATTGGTCCAAATCACATTTTAAAACATGTAAAACCATTCATACACCAATTCTAGCCCTTACGAAACTTTTGCATAATTTTCCCTATTTTTCTCTTTGTTCGAACCTAACTAGGTATTTTTAGCATGGTTTTCACTTTGATTCAAGCATGAATTCAAGCTTCAAACATCATTCCATGATTCTACAATTATTTCCATATAAAAAACAATCCAAATTCAATCTTCTCTATAAACTCTAACCTTAGCCAAACTCATCTTCATGCATTTCTAATGATCTTCAATAAAGTTTCATGCTTGGAAATGATTCTACAACATCCATAACGTCATAATCAAACTTTATTTCATAGAAAATTCAATCTCTTATTCATCCACCCTTTCCATGAAATCAATGATCCAAGAAATAAACATGACATATTTACACCAAATGATAGACAATTTGATGTACCTTAATTCTCTATTTCATTCTTTAATCCAAGAACCTAAGGAATTTGCTTAAAATGAAAAAGAAAAACTTCCTTACCTAGCTCGGTGTTCACAATAAGTGGGGAAGATGAAGGAAATTTCTTGATTCTTACTTAAAATATTCAAATACACCTATTATAATTATAATTATAATTAAAATGAATTATAAATTCATTTAATGAGAAATTACCTTTAACCTTTTAAAATCATGATAATTACCAAATTACCATGCTACATCATGCTTCATCATCCTTACATCATCAAAGTCAAACATAGACAAAGAATTTCTCATCTTCCAACTTTGCCCATGAATTATTCTAGAAATTACAATAATATATTTTAATCTAATGGCCCCAATTTAACATAAATATGTCAGGGATCAGTTTATCAGGCAATAAAGAAAGATTTTTTCAAAGCAAGGCAACCGGATAGTCGTTATTAGTGCGAGTTCAATAAATGAGTCAGTTTGCAATAGAGTTGGTTCTCAGTGAAAATGACCATTGTGAATGGCTTACGAATGCTTACATCCAAGACTGAAGGAGATTATGTTGGCATTGAATCTTCCCACATTCTTGGAGGTGGTAAACCTAGCTAAAGCTTTGGAAAGAGCTCAGAATGAAAAATTTGTAGAACAAAAAGTTCAGACAACTAAAAGATTACGAACACATTCAGTTTCATTCTGTCTAAATGAGGTACAAGTTCCAATCCCTTATTAAAACATATCTGAAACTGGTGCATCTAGTCTAAAGGATCTATACATGAAGATCCAAGCATTCTCAGATGTTTGTAACTGTGCAGGTAGATCATCTTAGACTAAGTTTCGCTTATGTGAGAGTTGTGGTAGATCACATTTAAGAGTATTGATTTGTCTCTGACTATGCTTCTGATGTGGAGAAACTGGTCATTTCAAGGAGATTGTCCTATGTCAACTAGAGGATCAGTTAGACTGAGAGATCTGTAGCAGTGTCACAAATAGGTAGAGATAGAGGTAAACCAAGAGGAGCTTTAGATATGCTTCACAGCTTTAAATGTGTCCCTCAGCCATAGTTTATAACATCAAGACTGATGAGAATTAGAATGATCCAAAAATCATTACAGCTACGTTATATTATAATAAACCTGCATTTGTTTAATTGATCTTGGTTTTACACACTCATATATTAGAAAAGAATTTATTAGAGAAAAATGTATCCCCTTAGAATCAATCTCAAGTGATATAGTTCGAGTTTCTAGTAAACTTGATAGAATACCTTTTGAGAAGTCTGAAATAATTTTGGGCATGGATTTGCTATCTCCATATCATTCAGGATTGTCGCATGAACCGATTAGTTTTGAAGGCTCTAGAAGGCCTTGAAATTATAGTGATTGGTGAAAGAGTGAATCCACTATCTAAGATTAGTACCATTGGGTTAGGATGGATAAGGAGTTTGGGTCTACTGTGGCAAAACACGGGCCTGGGTGATGGTAGGCCTCAGGTGGTAAATTACTGAGATGCCCAAATGTTTATGAAGCTGCATGAGTCGGCATTAGTTAGTTCATTTGTTAGAATCCAGTACATGCAGCTGGGTACTTGTAAATATATAAAACTGTACCTGATTCCATTTGGAATCATCTCTTATGAATGAATGAATTCATTTTCTCCTAAATTCCTTACTATTCTTTTCTGAAACCTAAATTCTTCATCCTAATTCATAACAATTGGTAATCAAAGCCTATTCTTGATCCAACTCAAGTTGGGTAAGCAGAAAACAACATGGTGAAAAATAAACCTCTAGAAATTTCAAGAAACGAGCAGTGGAGAACCATCCAAGACTGCACCGAAATGGTGGGAAGAACATAAAACTATTTGGGAAAATAGACTCAGCAACTTGGAAGCTAGATCAGAAGAAACCAGGGAATGCCTTCAAAGAAACTTGAATCTATTGGCCAAGAGCGCTGAAGAAATAGAGTAGACAACTCCCATAAGCAAGCAGCAGAATTTGGATAAAACCCATGCCAAAAAAGAAGATTTACGAGACTCTCAATTCAATTCTTGTGGTGTTTTTAATAAAATACTTTCCCCTCGTGATGTGCAACAAAAGATGCTTAAAGAGTCTGATTCGAGTGTTACTAGATATCCTAAATCAACTCCAATTCAGATGACTTATGAACAACAAATTACATGGAAAAAACGTATAGATCGACCTTCATTGGATACTTCTCAACTCATTTTTATCCACCTCAAAATTTATTCACGTGAAGAACAAAGGGAACATGATGTTTCTCACGTGTTTGATAAAATGCCTGTAAGAGTAGAAGACGAATTTCAATCGATGTTTAGAGAAATTTATTTTTTAGAGTTTATGAATGTCAATACACATGTTGAAGTCTTTGATCCTTATTTGTTTCGGCTTTGTTGATGGGAATAAGTATAATTCCATTTGCTGGGAGTTTGAGTATGACTGGAGATTGGTTCATTTTATAGGCCACAATTTGTCTGTCAACAGCAAAAAAATGGGTTGTTGTATTCGGATATGAATTCTTCTGGGTCATGGTTATGTGTGGGTCTATAATTTTTATGGGTGTTAAGCTTATGATTTTGCATGAGGAGAGAGCAAGAAAGTTGTGGGAATTCTTTAGAAAGCTTATGTTTTTCAAAGGTGATGACACTAAGGCAGTCCAGAAACTTGTTATCTCCATCGGGCATATGTGTGTGAAATAAATTTCTGTTTTCATGCCTATTTTCCAACCTGCAAAAACCAAAATACAGTAGCTCCTCAGCTACATTCTGCAAATTCTGAGACAGTTACTAACTTCAACTTTGGGAATTCATTCTCCGCCAATGCTTACTCTGCACTTGGTATCTCCACCGTACCCCCTCATATTCCAGAATCTGCTGCCCAAAGCAGTAATGGGAGCTTCAACTCTCAGATGGGCTCTAAAGCTCCTGTCAGTTCACATGTGTCTGCTCAACGTCAAAATAACAATGATCTCCTGGATGGCTTAAATTAACAACCAGGCTCAAAGCCTTCAATGGCACCACAGACAGTTACTTCATCGGCAGGAGTACTTGCTATTGTTCCAGTTTTAGAACCATTGAAGGATAAATTTGAGACGAAGTCGGCAGTTTGGGATGATATATTGAGCAGAGGATTAATCAATCTGAATATATATTGACCTAAAATAAATTCACTGGTTGATATTGGAGTGGACTTTGATGCTCTTAATCAGAAAGAAAAGAGTAATTTGCTCAATTCAAATACTGCTGAGACTAAGCTTAATGTCTCATAAGCCCTTGCACATGCATTGCAAGAAAAGGTGGCAGTACTGTTGTTTTTATCGCAACAGGAAGAAAGGCATTTACTTGAGAAAAATGTTAATGCAACTCTTCAGAAAAAGATAGGTGAACTTCATAAAAATTTGCTTCAAGTTACAATTGAAAAGGTGAAGGCTCTCCAGGAGTTGGCACAGTTCAAGCGGAGATATCAGTTATTGTAAACGAAAATCAGTAATGAGATATCAAAAGGGTTTGATCCTTGGGGACAATGATCATTTCAAGGGAAAGCGAATGTCATAACTATAGGGGAAGTCAACAAAGAAAGCAGCAGGAATGAGTTACTTAAACAATTAACAGAAAGATAATTTACTGTGGGGGAGGAGGTTTACCTAAAGCTGCAACCCTATCAGCAAACCTCTTTAGCTCAAAGGTGCATCATTGTTTTCTACGATCCATCTTTGACCTGGTTATCATCAATCAAAGATAAAAGTCGAAGATATTCCTAATATGGCTTTTAGAACCTGAACGGCTATTATGAATTTGTGGTGATGTCATTTAGATTAACAAATGCCCCTACAACATTTATGAACCTAATGAATTGTGTATTTCAATCGTATCTCAACCATTTGGTGGTGAAATTTATAGATGATATATTGGTCTATTTCAAGACAAAAGAAGATCATGATAAGCATGTTCGTATTGTACGTCAGATGCTTTGGGATAAAAAGTTATATGTTAAGTTGTCAAATTGTGAATTTTTGTTATCTGAAGTTGCTTTTCTCTGCAATGTGATTTTTGCAAAAGGAATAAAAGTTGATCCCAAGAAAGTGCAGGCTATAGTGAAGTGGAAAACTCCCAAGAATGTTTTTGAAATTTGAAGTTTCTTTAGACTTGTTAGATATTTTCGAAGGTTCATGAAGAATTTCTTGATGGTTGCTTTCCTTCTGACCAAGCTGCTAAGGACCAAGAAAGTTTTAAGACGTTAAAGAAGATCTTGATAGAAGCTCCAGTGCTAGTGCAACTAGAATTCAGAAAATAATATGTGATCTATAGTGACACATCTCATAATATGTTGGGATATATATTGATACAATAAGGAAAAATGGTAGATTACACTTCGAGACACCTTAAGATGTGTGAAAGAAATTATCCTACTCATGATCTAGACCTGGCAGCGGTGATATTCACTATAAATATTTGGCGCCACTACTTATATGGTGAGCGATGCTACATTTACACATATCATAAAAGTAAAAAATATATGCTAACTCAAAAGGAATTGAACTTGAGGCAAAGGAGATGGATATAATTCCTTAAAGATTATGATGTAGCCATTAATTACCATCTGAGAAATGCTGATGTGGTAGTTTACACATTAAGCCGAAAGATCTTTTCTACATTGAGAGCTTTGGATGCTCGATTATCGATGGTGGAATATGGAACATTAATTTATGAATTAAAGTTAAAGCCTACCTTGTTGGATCGAATCAATGGTCTTTAAAGGAAGGATTAAAATTGAATGTCAAGGATTGAACAGGTAGAAAAATATGAAAACAAAGTTATTGAAGTGAAGTTTGATTGATGTTTATACTACCGAGGACAAATCTTTATTCCAAATGATTAAGGATTAAAGAAAAAACACATTTCTAAGGCACGTTATAATCCATTGACGATGCATCCAGGAGGAAATAACATTTATCACAACTTAAAGAGCCGATATTGGTTGCTAGGCATGAAAAGAGCTATTACTGAGTTTGTTTCTAAAATTATGACATGTTAACAAGTAAAAGTGGAGCATCAAGTGCCTTCTGGACTAGTGCAACCAATTTGCATTCCTTAGTGGAAATAGGAATGAGTGACGATGGACTTTGTGACAAGGTTGCCTTTGACACCCAACAAGAAATATTCAGTCTGGGTGATCGTGGATAGATTGACAAAGTCAGAACTTTATCCCGATTCGATCTGATTATTCTTTGGATAAGTATGTTGAATTTTACATTAAGGAAATTATACGATTACATGGAGTACATGTCTCGATTGTATAGGTTCTAGAAGTCCTTACATAAAGCCTTGGGTACTAAACTTAATTTCAGCATAGTTTTTCATCCTTAGACTAATGGGAAATTAGAATGAAGAATTTAGATTTTGGAGGATATGCTAAGGGCTTGCGCAATTTATTTTAAAGGTTCGTGGGAAAAGTACTTACCCTTAACAGAATTCACTTATAATAACAACTACCAGTCAAGTATTAAAATAGCTCCTTATAAAGCTTTGTATGAAAGAAAATGTCGAACGCCTCTGAACTAGTACGAGTTAAAAGATCGAGACATAGTGAGCCCAGATCTAATTAAAGAAGTGGAAGAAAAAGTAAAGACTATATAAGATAATCCCAAGGTAGCAGCCAATCGACAGAAATTTTATTCAGACTAAAAGAGAAGAGAAATTGAATTTCAGGTCTGCGATAAAGTATTTCTTAAAGTGTCACTATGGAATAAGGTCCTGCAGTTTAGACGAAAAGGAAAATTGAGTTCGAGGTTCATTGGTCCATTTGAAGTTGTGAAAAGAATTAGTCTATGATTCGAATGTATCTTTCGGATCCTTCGCATGTCATTACATCGGAGGAGAGATTCAACAAATCTAACTTATTAAGAAGAATCAGTGAAGATATTAGAGTATGAAGTTAAAGAACTAAGGAACAAGACAATTACACTAGTTAAATTTCTTTGATGAAACTATAAAGTTGAGGAAGCTACCTGGGAAAAAGGAGAATATATGAAAAAATAGTTTCCTCATCTTTTTGCATCATATATGCAATGAAAATTCAAGGACAAATTTTCTGAAGGAGGAGAATTATAATATCCCAAATTTTGTACTAGTGACAAAAACATAAATTTTGAAAGTTTAGTAGCTAAAGTAAAAACTTTGCAAATGACTAGTAACCAAAGTATAATTTTAAGTTATTTTGGTCCGTAAATAAATAGTTCACCCCTAAAAATGACATTTTGGGTTTCATATTTTTCATCTGGAGCTTGTATTAGAAGCTAAAAAGCGATAAAGTTCTGTAAAATATTCAGATAATCGGATCGAATAGAAAATTTAAGAAAATTTTAAGGTTGCTAGTATGAGGCTAATAACATTATTTTCATATTTTTAATCAGTAGAATTTAACATGAATCGTTTGATTTAAGTTAATTTTTCTTTGTTAAATTATACTAATTAAGAAAAATAGAAATAACATTATTACATGGTTGATCCCCTGGTATTTCCTCCATATTAATTTGTATAATGCCGGATTTTTGTGTTATTTTTCTCGAGTTTGGTAAAGCTGCAAAGTAACTTAGGACAACTTTTTCCTTATTTACTTTTGTTTCTTCTCTTGTCACATTATTCTTGTCTTCTTCGGTTTTTCTGATCCCCATTAATAATATTTCAACATACAATTTTAGCAAAAAAAAACTATTAAAAAATTTGAAAATAAAAATAATAAAAGCCATAAATTGTAATTTAAAAAAATTAAAAATGTTTAAGAAAGTATGTCATGATGGAAGAGGAATTAGGGCTGGGAAAAGGGGAAATTGGGAGAAAATTATCTCAGTTAGGGATTTGGAATGGGGAAGAATTGGAAAATGGAAAGGTTGGGGAGAAAAATGAGATTAGTACCATTGGGTTAGGATGGATAAGGAGTTTGGGTCTACTGTGGCAAAACACGGGCCTGGGTGATGGTAGGCCTCAGGTGGTAAATTACTGAGATGCCCAAATGTTTATGAAGCTGCATGAGTCAGCATTAGTTAGTTCATTTGTTAGAATCTAGTACATGCAGCTGGGTACTTGTAAATATATAAAACTGTACCTGATTCCATTTGGAATCATCTCTTATGAATGAATGAATTCATTTTCTCCTAAATTCCTTACTATTCTTTTCTGAAACCTAAATTCTTCATCCTAATTCATAACAATTGGTAATCAAAGCCTATTCTTGATCCAACTCAAGTTGGGTAAGCAGAAAACAACATGGTGGAAAATAAACCTCTAGAAATTTCAAGAAACGAGCAGTGGAGAACCATCCAAGACTGCACCGAAATGGTGGGAAGAACATAAAACTATTTGGGAAAATAGACTCAGCAACTTGGAAGCTAGATCAGAAGAAACCAGGGAATGCCTTCAAAGAAACTTGAATCTATTGGCCAAGAGCGCTTAAGAAATGGAGCAGACAACTCCCATAAGCAAGCAGCAGAATTTGGATAAAACCCATGCCAAAAAAGAAGATTTACGAGACTCTCAATTCAATTCTTGTGGTGTTTTTAATAAAATACTTTCCCCTCGTGATGTGCAACAAAAGATGCTTAAAGAGTCTGATTCGAGTGTTACTAGTTATCCTAAATCAACTCCAATTCAGATGACTTATGAACAACAAATTACATGGAAAAAAGGTATAGATCGACCTTCATTGGATACTTCTCAACTCATTTTTATCCACCTCAAAATTTATTCACGTGAAGAACAAAGGGAACATGATGTTTCTCACGTGTTTGATAAAATGCCTGTAAGAGTAGAAGACGAATTTCAATCGATGTTTAGAGAAATTTATTTTTTAGAGTTTATGAATGCCAATACACATGTTGAAGTCTTTGATCCTTATTTGTTTCGGCTTTTGTTGATGGGAATAAGTATAATTCCATTTGCTGGGAGTTTGAGTATGACTAAAAGGGAGATTGGTTCATTTTATAGGCCACAATTTGTTCTGTCAACAGCAAAAATATGGGTTGTTGTATTCGGATATGAATTCTTCTGGGTCATGGTTATGTGTGGGTCTATAATTTTTATGGGTGTTAAGCTTATGATTTTGCATGAGGAGAGAGCAAGAAAGTTGTGGGAATTCTTTAGAAAGCTTATGTTTTTCAAAGGTGATGACACTAAGGCAGTCCAGAAACTTGTTATCTCCATCGGGCATATGTGTGTGAAATAAAATTCTGTTTTCATGCCTATTTTCCAGTCTGCAAAAACCAAAATACAGTAGCTCCTCAGCTACATTCTGCAAATTCTGAGACAGTTACTAACTTCAACTTTGGGAATTCATTCTCCGCGAATGCTTACTCTGCACCTGGTATCTCCACCGTACCCCCTCATATTCCAGAATCTGCTGCCCAAAGCAGTAATGGGAGCTTCAACTCTCAGATGGGCTCTAAAGCTCCTGTCAGTTCACACGTGTCTGCTCAACCTCAAAATAACAATGATCTCCTGGATGGCTTAAATTAACAACCAGGCTCAAAGCCTTCAATGGTACCACAGACAGTTACTTCATCGGCAGGAGTACTTGCTATTGTTCCAGTTTTAGAACCATTGAAGGATAAATTTGAGACGAAGTCGGCAGTTTGGGATGATATATTGAGCAGAGGATTAATCTGAATATATATTGACCTAAAATAAATTCGTTGGTTGATATTGGAGTGGACTTTGATGCTCTTAATCAGAAAGAAAAGAGCGATTTGCTCAATTCAAATACTGCTGAGACTAAGCTTAATGTCTCAGAAGCCCTTGCACATGCATTGCAAGAAAAGGTGGCAGTACTATTGCTTTTATCGCAACAGGAAGAAAGGCATTTACTTGAGAAAAATGTTAATGCAACTCTTCAGAAAAAGATAGGTGAACTTCATAAAAATTTGCTTCAAGTTACAATTGAAAAGGTGAAGGCTCTCTAGGAGTTGGCATAGTTCAAGCGGAGATATCAGTTATTGCAAACGAAAATCAGTAATGAGATATCAAAAGGGTTTGATCCTTGGGGACAATGATCATTTCAAGGAAAGCGATTGTCATAATTATAGGGAAGTCAACAAAGAAAGCAGCAGGAATGAGTTACTTAAACAATTAACAGAAAGATAATTTACTGTAGGGGAGGAGGTTTACCTAAAGCTGCAACCCTATCAATAAACCTCTTTAGCTCAAAGGTGCATCATTGTTTTCTACGATCCATCTTTGACCTGGTTATCATCAATCAAAGATAAAAGTCGAAGATATTCCTAATATGGCTTTTAGAACCTGAACGGCTATTATGAATTTGTGGTGATGTCATTTAGATTAACAAATGCCCCTACAACATTTATGAACCTAATGAATTGTGTATTTCAATCGTATCTCAACCATTTGGTGGTGAAATTTATAGATGATATATTGGTCTATTTCAAGACAAAAGAAGATCATGATAAGCATGTTCGTATTGTACGTCAGATGCTTTGGGATAAAAAGTTATATGTTAAGTTGTCAAATTGTGAATTTTTGTTATCTGAAGTTGCTTTTCTCTGCAATGTGATTTTTGCAAAAGGAATAAAAGTTGATCCCAAGAAAGTGCAGGCTATAGTGAAGTGGAAAACTCCCAAGAATGTTTTTGAAATTTGAAGTTTCTTTAGACTTGTTAGATATTTTCGAAGGTTCATGAAGAATTTCTTGATGGTGCTTTCCTTCTGACCAAGCTGCTAAGGACCAGAAAGTTTTAAGACGTTAAAGAAGATCTTTATAGAAGCTCCAGTGCTAGTGCATCTAGAATTCAGAAAAAAATATGTGATCTATAGTGACACATCTCATAATATGTTGGGATATATATTGATACAATAAGGAAAAATGGTAGATTACACTTCGAGACACCTTAAGATGTGTGAAAGAAATTAACCTACTCATGATCTAGACCTGGCAGCGGTGATATTCACTATAAATATTTGGCGCCACTACTTATATGGTGAGCGATGCTACATTTACACATATCATAAAAGTAAAAAATATATGCTAACTCAAAATGAATTGAACTTGAGGCAAAGGAGATGGATATAATTCCTTAAAGATTATGATGTAGCCATTAATTACCATCTGAGAAATGCTGATGTGGTGTTTACACATTAAGCCGAAAGATCTTTTCTACATTGAGAGCTTTGGATGCTCGATTATCGATGGTGGAATATGGAACATTAATTTATGAATTAAAGTTAAAGCCTACCTTGTTGGATCGAATCAATGGTCTTTAAAGGAAGGATTAAAATTGAATGTCAAGGATCGAACAGGTAGAAAAAGATGAAAACAAAGATATTGAAGTGAAGTTTGATTGTTGTTTATACTACCGAGGACAAATCTTTATTCCAAATGATTAAGGATTAAAGAAAAAACACATTTCTAAGGCACGTTATAATCCATTGACGATGCATCCATGAGGAAATAACATTTATCACAACTTAAAGAGCCGATATTGGTTGCTAGGCATGAAAAGAGCTATTACTGAGTTTGTTTCTAAAATTATGACATGTTAACAAGTAAAAGTGGAGCATCAAGTGCCTTCTGGACTAGTGCAACCAATTTGCATTCGTTAGTGGAAATAGGAATGAGTGACGATGGACTTTGTAACAAGGTTGCCTTTGACACCCAACAAGAAATATTCAGTCTGGGTGATCGTGGATAGATTGACAAAGTCAGCACTTTATCCCAATTCGAGCTGATTACTCTTTGGATAAGTATGTTGAATTTTACATTAAGGAAATTATACGATTACATGGAGTACATGTCTCGATTGTATAGGTTCTAGAAGTCCTTACATAAAGCCTTGGGTACTAAACTTAATTTCAGCATAGTTTTTCATCCTTAGACAAATGGGAAATTAGAATGAAGATTTAGATTTTGGAGGATAGCTAAGGGCTTGCGCAATTTATTTTAAAGGTTCGTGGGAAAAGTACTTACCCTTAACAGAATTCACTTATAATAACAACTACCAGCAAGTATTAAAATAGCTCCTTATAAAGCTTTGTATGAAAAGAAAATGTCGAACGCCTCTGAACTAGTACGAGTTAAAAGATCGAGACATAGTGAGCCCAGATCTAATTAAAGAAGTGGAAGAAAAAGTAAAGACTATATAAGATAATCCCAAGGTAGCAGCTAATCGACAGAAATTTTATTCAGACTAAAAGAGAAGAGAAATTGAATTTCAGGTCGGCGATAAAGTATTTCTTAAAGTGTCACTATGGAATAAGGTCCTGCAGTTTGGACGAAAAGAAAAATTGAGTTCGAGGTTCATTGGTCCATTTGAAGTTGTGAAAAGAATTAGTCTATGATTCGAAGGTTACATCGGAGGAGAGATTCAACAAATCTAACTTATGAAGAAGAATCAGTGAAGATATTAGAGTATGAAGTTAAAGAACTAAGGAACAAGACAATTACACTAGTTAAATTTCTTTGATGAAACTATAAAGTTGAGGAAGCTACCTTGGAAAAAGGAGAATATATGAAAAAACAGTTTTTCTCTTTTTGCATCATATATGCAATGAAAATTCAAGGACAAATTTTCTGAAGGAGGAGAATTATAATATCCCAAATTTTGTACTAGTGACAAAACATAAATTTTGAAAGTTTAGTAGCTAAAGTAAAAACTTTGCAAATGACTAGTGACCAAAGTATAATTTTAAGTTATGTATTTTGGTCCGTAAATAAATAGTTCACCCCTAAAAATGACATTTTCGTGGGTTTCATATTTATCATCTGGAGCTTGTATTAGAAGCTAAAAAGCGATAAAGTTCTGTAAAATATTCAGATAATCGGATCGAATAAAAAATTTAAGAAAATTTTAAGGTTGATAGTATGAGGCTAATAACATTATTTTCATATTTTTAATCCGTAGAATTTAACATGAATCGTTTGATTTAAGTTAATTTTTCTTTGTTAAAGTATACTAATTAAGAAAAATAGAAATAACATTATTAACATGGTTGATCCCCTGGTATTTTCCTCCATATTAATTGTATAATGCCGGATGTTGTTGTTTTTTCTCGAGTTTGGTAAAGCTGCAAAGTAACTTAGGACAACTTTTTCCTTATTTACTTTTGTTTCTTCTCTTGTCACATTATTCTTGTCTTCTTTGGTTTTTCTGATCCCCATTAATAATATTTCAACAGACAATTTTAGCAAAAAAAAAAACTATTAAAAAATTTGAAAATAAAAATAATAAAAGCCATAAATTGTAATTTAAAAAAATTAAAAATGTTTAAGAAAGTATGTCATGATGAAAGAGGAATTAGGGTTGGGAAAAGGGGAAATTGAGAGGAAATTATCTCAGTTAGGGATTTGGAATGGGGAAGAATTGGAAAATGGAAAGGTTGGGGAGAAAAATGAGATTAGTACCATTGGGTTAGGATGGATAAGGAATTTGGGTCTACTGTGGCAAAACACGGGCCTGGGTGATGGTAGGCCTGAGGTGGTAAATTACTGAGATGCCCAAATGTTTATGAAGCTGCATGAGTCGGCATTAGTTAGTTCATTTGTTAGAATCTAGTACATGCAGCTGGGTACTTGTAAATATATAAAACTGTACCTGATTCCATTTGGAATCATCTCTTATGAATGAATGAATTCATTTTCTCCTAAATTCCTTACTATTCTTTTCTGAAACCTAAATTCTTCATCCTAATTCATAACAATTGGTAATCAAAGCCTATTCTTGATCCAACTCAAGTTGGGTAAGCAGAAAACAACATGTTGGAAAATAAACCTCTAGAAATTTCAAGAAACGAGCAGTGGAGAACCATCCAAGACTGCACCGAAATGGTGGGAAGAACATAAAACTATTTGGGAAAATAGACTCAGCAACTTGGAAGCTAGATCAGAAGAAACCAGGGAATGCCTTCAAAGAAACTTGAATCTATTGGCCAAGAGCGCTGAAGAAATGGAGCAGACAACTCCCATAAGCAAGCAGCAGAATTTGGATAAAACCCATGCCAAAAAAGAAGATTTACGAGACTCTCAATTCAATTCTTGTGGTGTTTTTAATAAAATACTTTCCCCTCGTGATGTGCAACAAAAGATGCTTAAAGAGTCTGATTCGAGTGTTACTAGTTATCCTAAATCAACTCCAATTCAGATGACTTATGAACAACAAATTACATGGAAAAAAGGTATAGATCGACCTTCATTGGATACTTCTCAACTCATTTTTATCCACCTCAAAATTTATTCACGTGAAGAACAAAGGGAACATGATGTTTCTCACGTGTTTGATAAAATGCCTGTAAGAGTAGAAGATGAATTTCAATCGATGTTTAGAGAAATTTATTTTTTAGAGTTTATGAATGTCAATACACATGTTGAAGTCTTTGATCCCTATTTGTTTCAGCTTTTGTTGATGGGAATAAGTATAATTCCATTTGCTGGGAGTTTGAGTATGACTAAAAGGGAGATTGGTTCATTTTATAGGCCACAATTTGTTCTGTCAACAGCAAAAATATGGGTTGTTGTATTCGGATATGAATTCTTCTGGGTCATGGTTATGTGTGGGTCTATAATTTTTATGGGTGTTAAGCTTATGATTTTGCATGATGAGAGAGCAAGAAAGTTGTGGGAATTCTTTAGAAAGCTTATGTTTTTCAAAGGTGATGACACTAAGGCAGTCCAGAAACTTGTTATCTCCATCGGGCATATGTGTGTGAAATAAATTTCTGTTTTCATGCCTATTTTCCAGCCTGCAAAAACCAAAATACAGTAGCTCCTCAGCTACATTCTGCAAATTCTGAGACAGTTACTAACTTCAACTTTGGGAATTCATTCTCCGCCAATGCTTACTCTGCACCTGGTATCTCCACCGTACCCCCTCATATTCCAGAATCTGCTGCCCAAAGCAATAATGGGAGCTTCAACTCTCAGATGGGCTCTAAAGCTCCTGTCAGTTCACACGTGTCTGCTCAACCTCAAAATAACAATGATCTCCTAGATGGCTTAAATTAACAACCAGGCTCAAAGCCTTCAATGGCACCACAGACAGTTACTTCATCGGTAGGAGTACTTGCTATTGTTCCAGTTTTAGAACCATTGAAGGATAAATTTGAGACGAAGTCGGCAGTTTGGGATGATATATTGAGCAGAGGATTAATCAATCTGAATATATATTGACCAAAAATAAATTCGTTGGTTGATATTGGAGTGGACTTTGATGCTCTTAATCAGAAAGAAAAGAGTGATTTGCTCAATTCAAATACTGCTGAGACTAAGCTTAATGTCTCAGAAGCCCTTGCACATGCATTGCAAGAAAAGGTGGCAGTACTGTTGCTTTTATCGCAACAGGAAGAAAGGAATTTACTTGAGAAAAATGTTAATGCAACTCTTCAGAAAACGATAGGTGAACTTCATAAAAATTTGCTTCAAGTTACAATTGAAAAGGTGAAGGCTCTCTAGGAGTTGGCACAGTTCAAGCGGAGATATCAGTTATTGCAAACGAAAATCAGTAATGAGATATCAAAAAGGGTTTGATCCTTGGGGACAATGATCATTTCAAGGGAAAGCGAATGTCATAACTATAGGGGAAGTCAACAAAGAAATCAGCAGGAATGAGTTACTTAAACAATTAACAGAAAGATAATTTACTGTGGGGGAGGAGGTTTACCTAAAGCTGCAACCCTATCAGCAAACCTCTTTAGCTCAAAGGTGCATCATTGTTTTCTACGATCCATCTTTGACCTGGTTATCATCAATCAAAGATAAAAGTCGATGATATTCCTAATATGGCTTTTAGAACCTGAACGGCTATTATGAATTTGTGGTGATGTTATTTAGATTAACAAATGCCCCTACAATATTTATGAACCTAATGAATTATGTATTTCAATCGTATCTCAACCATTTGGTGGTGAAATTTATAGATGATATATTGGTCTATTTCAAGACAAAAGAAGATCATGATAAGCATGTTCGTATTGTACTTCAGATGCTTTGGGATAAAAAGTTATATGTTAAGTTGTCAAAGTGTTAATTTTTGTTATCTGAAGTTGCTTTTCTCTGCAATGTGATTTCTGCAAAAGGAATAAAAGTTGATCCCAAGAAAGTGCAGGCTATAGTGAAGTGGAAAACTCCTAAGAATGTTTTTGAAATTTGAAGTTTCTTTAGACTTGTTAGATATTTTCGAAGGTTCATGAAGAATTTCTTGATGGTTGCTTTCCTTCTGACCAAGCTGCTAAGGACCAAGAAAGTTTTAAGACGTTAAAGAAGATCTTGATAGAAGCTCCAGTGCTAGTGCATCTAGAATTCAGAAAAGAATATGTGATCTATAGTGACACATCTTATAATATGTTGGGATATATATATTGATACAATAAGGAAAAATGGTAGATTACACTTCGAGACACCTTAAGATGTGTGAAACAAATTATCCTACTCATGATCTAGACCTGGCAGCGGTGATATTCACTATAAATATTTGGCGCCACTACTTATATGGTGAGCGATGCTACACTTACACATATCATAAAAGTAAAAAATATATGCTAACTCAAAAGGAATTGAACTTGAGGCAAAGGAGATGGATATAATTCCTTAAAGATTATGATGTAACCATTAATTACCATCTGAGAAATGATGATGTGGTAGTTTACACATTAAGCCGAAAGATCTTTTCTACATTGAGAGCTTTGGATGCTCGATTATCGATGGTGGAATATGGAACATAATTTATGAATTAAAGTTAAAGCCTACCTTGTTGGATCGAATCAATGGTCTTTAAAGGAAGGATTAAAATTGAATGTCAAGGATCGAACAGGTAGAAAAAGATGAAAACAAAGATATTGAAGTGAAGTTTGATTGATGTTTATACTACCGAGGACAAATCTTTATTCCAAATGATTAAGGATTAAAGAAAAAACACATTTCTAAGGCACGTTATAATCCATTGACGATGCATCCAGGAGGAAATAACATTTATCACAACTTAAAGAGCCGATATTGGTTGCTAGGCATGAAAAGAGTTATTTCTGAGTTTGTTTCTAAAATTCTTACATGTTAACAAGTAAAAGTGGAGCATCAAGTGCCTTCTGGACTAGTGCAACCAATTTGCATTCCTTAGTGGAAATAGGAATGAGTGACGATGGACTTTGTGACAAGGTTGCCTTTGACACCCAACAAGAAATATTCAGTCTGGGTGATCGTGGATAGATTGACAAAGTCAGCACTTTATCCCGATTCGAGCTGATTACTCTTTGGATAAGTATGTTGAATTTTACATTAAGGAAATTATACGATTACATGGAGTACATGTCTCGATTGTATAGGTTCTAGAAGTCCTTACATAAAGCCTTGGGTACTAAACTTAATTTCAGCATAGTTTTTCATCCTTAGACAAATGGGAAATTAGAATGAAGAATTTAGATTTTGGAGGATATGCTAAGGGCTTGCGCAATTTATTTTAATGGTTCGTGGGAAAAGTACTTACCCTTAACAGAATTCACTTATAATAACAACTACCAGTCAAGTATTAAAATAGCTCCTTATAAAGCTTTGTATGAAAGAAAATGTCGAACGCCTCTGAACTAGTACGAGTTAAAAGATCGAGACATAGTGAGCCCAGATCTAATTAAAGAAGTGGAAGAAAAAGTAAAGACTATATAAGATAATCCCAAGGTAGCAGCCAATCGACAGAAATTTTATTCAGACTAAAAGAGAAGAGAAATTGAATTTCAGGTCAGCGATAAAGTATTTCTTAAAGTGTCACTATGGAATAAGGTCCTGCAGTTTGGACGAAAAGGAAAATTGAGTTCGAGGTCATTGGTCCATTTGAAGTTGTGAAAAGATTTAGTCTATATTCGAAGGTATCTTTCGGATCCTTCGCATGTCATTACATCGGAGGAGAGATTCAACAAATCTACTTATGAAGAAGAATCAGTGAATATTAGAGTATGAAGTTAAGAACTAAGGAACAAGACAATTACACTAGTTAAATTTCTTTGATGAAACTATAAAGTTAAGGAAGCTACCTGGGAAAAAGGAGAATATATGAAAAAACAGTTTCCTCATCTCTTTGCATCATATATGCAATGAAAATTCAAGGACAAATTTTCTAAAGGAGGAGAATTATAATATCCCAAATTTTGTACTAGTGACAAAAACATAAATTTTGAAAGTTTAGTAGCTAAAGTAAAAACTTTGCAAAACTAGTGACCAAAGTATAATTTTAAGTTATGTATTTTGGTCTGTAAATAAATAGTTCACCCCTAAAAATGACATTTTCGTGGGTTCATATTTTTCTGGAGCTTGTATTAGAAGCTAAAAAGCGATAAAGTTCTGTAAAAATATTCAGATAATCGGATCGAATAGAAAATTTAAGAAAATTTTAAGGTTGATAGTATGAGGCTAATAATTATTTTCATATTTTAATCAGTAGAATTTAACATGAATCGTTTGATTTAAGTTAATTTTTCTTTGTTAAATACTAATTAAGAAAAATAGAAATAACATTATTAACATGGTTGATCCCCTGGTATTTCCTCCATATTAATTTGTATAATGCCGGATTTGTCTGTTGTTTTTCTCGAGTTTGGTAAAGCTGCAAAGTAACTTAGGACAACTTTTGCCTTATTTACTTTTTTTCTTCTCTTGTCAAATTATTCTTGTCTTCTTCGGTTTTTCTGATCCCCATTAATAATATTTCAACATACAATTTTAGCAAAAAAAAACTATTAAAAAATTTGAAAATAAAAATAATAAAAGCCATAAATTGTAATTTAAAAAAATTAAAAATGTTTAAGAAAGTATGTCATGATGGAAGAGGAATTGGGGTTGGGAAAAGGGGAAATTGAGAGGAAATTATCTCAGTTAGGGATTTGGAACGGGGAAGAATTGGAAAATGAAAAGGTTGAGGAGAAAATTGAGATTAGTACCATTAGGTTAGGATGGATAAGGAGTTTGGGTCTACTGTGGCAAAACACGGGCCTGGGTGATGGTAGGCCTGAGGTGGTAAATTAGGTTAGGTGGTAAATTACTAACATGCAGCTGGGTACTTGTAAATATATAAAACTGTACCTGATTCCATTTGGAATCATCTCTTATGAATGAATGAATTCATTTTCTCCTAAATTCCTTACTATTCTTTCTGAAACCTAATTCTTCATCCTAATTCATAACAATTGGTAATCAAAGCCTATTCTTGATCCAACTCAAGTTGGGTAAGCAGAAAACAACATGGTGGAAAATAAACCTCTAGAAATTTCAAGAAACGAGCAGTGGAGAACCATCCAAGACTGCACCGAAATGGTGGGAAGAACATAAAACTATTTGGGAAAATAGACTCAGCAACTTGGAAGCTAGATCAGAAGAAACCAGGGAATGCCTTCAAAGAAACTTAAATCTATTGGCCAAGAGCGCTGAAGAAATGGAGCAGACAACTCCCATAAGCAAGCAGCAGAATTTGGATAAAACCCATGCCAAAAAAGAAGATTTACGAGACTCTCAATTCAATTCTTGTGGCGTTTTTAATAAAATACTTTCCCCTCGTGATGTGCAACAAAAGATGCTTAAAGAGTCTGATTCGAGTGTTACTAGTTATCCTAAATCAACTCCAATTCAGATGACTTATGAACAACAAATTACATGGAAAAAAGGTATAGATCGACCTTCATTGGATACTTCTCAACTCATTTTTATCCACCTCAAAATTTATTCACGTGAAGAACAAAGGGAACATGATGTTTCTCACGTGTTTGATAAAATGCATGTAAGAGTAGAAGACGAATTTCAATCGATGTTTAGAGAAATTTATTTTTTAGAGTTTATGAATGTCAATAAACATGTTGAAGTCTTTGATCCTTATTTGTTTCGGCTTTTGTTGATGGGAATGAGTATAATTCCATTTGCTGGGAGTTTGAGTATGACTAAAAGGGAGATTGGTTCTTTTTATAGGCCACAATTTGTTCTGTCAACAGCAAAAATATGGGTTATTGTATTCGGATATGAATTCTTCTGGGTTATGGTTACGTGTGGGTCTATAATTTTTATGGGTGTTAAGCTTGTGATTTTGCATGAGGAGAGAGCAAGAAAGTTGTGGGAATTCTTTAGAAAGCTTATATTTTGCAAAGGTGATGACATTAAGGCAGTCCAGAAACTTGTTATCTCCATCGGGCATATGTGTGTGAAACAAATTTCCTTTTTCATGCCTATTTTCCAACCTGCAACAAACCAAAATACAGTAGCTCCTCAGCTACATTCTGTAAATTCTGAGACAGTTACTAACTTTAACTTTGGGGATTCATTCTCCGCCAATGCTTACTCTGCACCTGGTATCTCCACCGTACCCCCTTATATTCCAGAATCTGCTGCCTAAAGCAGTAATGGAAGCTTCAACTCTCAGATGGGCTCTAAAGCTCCTGTCAGTTCACACGTGTCTGCTCAACCTCAAAATAACAATGATCTCCTGGATGGCTTAAATTAACAACCAGGCTCAAAGCCTTCAATGGCACCACAGACAGTTACTTCATCGGCAGGAGTACTTGCTATTGTTCCAGTTTTAGAACCATTGAAGGATAAATTTGAGATGAAGTCGGCAGTTTGGGATGATATATTGAGCAGAGGATTAATCAATCTGAATATATATTGACCTAAAATAAATTCGTTGGTTGATATTGGAGTGGACTTTGATGCTCTTAATCAGAAAGAAAAGAGCGATTTGCTCAATTCAAATACTGCTGAGACTAAGCTTAATGTCTCAGAAGCCCTTGCACATGCATTGCAAGAAAAGGTGGCAGTACTGTTGCTTTTATCGCAACAGGAAGAAAGGCATTTACTTGAGAAAAATGTTAATGCAACTCTTCAGAAAAAGATAGGTGAACTTCATAAAAATTTGCTTCAAGTTACAATTGAAAATGTGAAGGCTCTCCAGGAGTTGGCATAGTTCAAGGGGAGATATCAGTTATTGCAAACGAAAATCAGTAATGAGATATCAAAAGGGTTTGATCCTTGGGGACAATGATCATTTCAAGGGAAAGCGAATGTCATAACTATAGGGGAAGTCAACAAAGAAAGCAGCAGGAATGAGTTACTTAAACAATTAACAGAAAGATAATTTACTGTGGGGGAGGAGGTTTACCTAAAGCTGCAACCCTATCAGCAAACCTCTTTAGCTCAAAGGAAAAATTTAAAGCTTGCTACGAGATACTTCGGTCCCTATAAAATACAACAACGAATTGGGTCAGTGGCGTATAAGTTACAGTTACAATCACATTCGAAAATACGTCTTGTTTTTCATGTCAGTTTACTCAAGAGAAAAATTGGAAAAGAGCGAGTACCTTCAATTGATCCTCCAGAGATCATGAACGATGGTTAGTTGAAAGTTTACCCAGCTATTGTGTTGAATAAACAGATGGTTGAACACCAAAACCAGACAGTAACCCAACTGTTGATTCAATGGACGAATATGGGACAAGCAGAGCCGACTTTGGAAAAATATTCAGTGTTGAAAACTTAGTTTCCATATTTCGATCCTTGGGGACAAGGATCTGGTGGAGGGGGTATTGTCATGATGGAAGAGGAATTAAGGTTGGAGAAAGGGGAAATTGAGGGAAATTATCTCAGTTAGGGATTTGGAACGGGGAAGAATTGGAAAATGAAAAAGTTGGAGAAAAAAATGAGATTATTACCGTTGGGTTGGGATAGATAAGGAGTTTGGGTCTACTGTGGAAAAACACGGGCCTGGGTGATGGTGGGCCTCTGGTGGTAAATTGCTGAGATGCCCAAATGTTTATGAACATGCATGAGTCAACATTAGTAGTTAATTTGATTCCAGGACATGCCAGCTGGGTACTTGTAATATATAAAATTGTACTGATTCCATTTGGAATCATCTTATGAATGAATGAAATCATTTTCTCCTAAATTCCTTTCTATTCTTTTCTGAAACCTAACTTCTTCATCCTAATTCATAACAATTGGTAATCACAGCCTATTCTTGATCCAACTCAAGTTGGGTAAGCAGAAAACAACATGGTGGAAAATAAACCTCTAGAAATTCAAGAAACGAGCAGTGGAGAACCATCCAAGACTGCACCGAAATGGTGGGAAGAACATCAAACTATTTGCGAAAATAGACTCGGTAATTTGGAAGCCAGTTCAGAAGAAACCAGGGAATGCGTTCAAAGAAACTTGAATCTATTGGCCAAGAGCGCTGAAGAAATGGAGCAGACAACTCCCATGAGCAGCAGAATTTGGATAAAACCCATGCCAAAACAGAGATTTACGAGATTCTCATTCAATTCTTGTGGTGTTTTTAATCAAATATTTCCCCTCGTGATGTGCAACAAAATGCTTAAAGAGTCTGATTCGAGTGTACTAGTTATCCTAAATCAACTCCAATTCAGATGATTATGAACAACAAATTACATGGGAAAAAGGTATAGATCGACCTTCATTGGATACTTCTCAACTCATTTTTATCCACCTAAAAATTTATTCACCTGAAGAACAAAGGGAAAAAGATGTTTCTCAAGTGTTTGATAAAATGTCTGTAAGAGTAGAAGACGAATTTCAATCGATGTTTAGAGAAATTTATTTTATAGAGATTATGAATGTCAATACACATGTTGAAGTCTTTGATCCTTATTTGTTTCGGCTTTTGTTGATGGGAATAAGTATAATTCCATTTGCTGGGAGTTTAAGTATGACTAAAAGGGAGATTAGTTTATTTTATGCCACAATTTGTTCTGTCATCAGCAAAAATATGGGTTGTTGTATTCGGATATGAATTTTGGGTCATGGGTTACGTGTGGGTCTATAATTTTTATGGGTATTAAGCTTGTGATTTTCCATGAGGAGAGAGCAAGAAAGTTGTGGGAATTCTTTAGAAAGCTTATGTTTTGCAAAGGTGATGACACTAAGGCAGTCCAGAAACTGTTATCTCCATCGGGCATATGTGTGAAACACAATTTGTTCCATGCCTATTTTCCAGCCTGCAAAAACCAAATACAGTAGCTCCTCAGCTACATTCTGCAAATTGAGACAGTTACTAACTTTAACTTTGGGGATTCATTCTCCGCCAATGCTTACTCTGCACCTGGTATCCACCGTACCCCCTTATATTCCAGAATCTGCGCCTAAGCAGTAATGGGAGCTTCAACTCTCAGATGGCTCTAATGCTCCTGTCAGTTCACACGTGTCTGCTCAACCTCAAAATAACAATGATCTCCTTGGTGGCTTAAATTAACAACCAGGCTCAAAGCCTTCAATGGCACCACAGACAGTTACTTCATCGGCAGGAGTACTTGCTATTGTTCCAGTTTTAGAACCATTGAAGGATAAATTTGAGACGAAGTCGGTAGTTTGGGATGATATATTGAGCTGAGGATTAATCAATATGAATATATATTGACCTAAAATAAATCGTTGGTTGATATTGGAGTGGACTTTGATGCTTAATCAGAAAGAAAGAGTGATTTGCTCAATTCAAATACTGAGACTAAGCTTAATGTCTCAGAAGCCCTTGCACATGCATTGCAAGAAAAGGTGGCAGCACTGTTGTTTATCGTAGCAGGAAGAAAGGCATTTACTTGAGAAAAATGTTAATGCAATTCTTCAGAAAAAGATAGGTGAACTTCATAAAAATTTGCTTCAAGTTACAAATGAAAAGGTGAAGGCTCTCCGGGAGTTGGCACAGTTCAAGCGGAGATATCAGTTATTGCAAACGAAAATCAGTAATGAGATATCAAAAGGGTTGATCCTTGGGGATAATGATCATTTCAAGGGAAAGCGAATGTCATAACTATAGGGGAAGTCAACAAAGAAAGCAGCAGGAATCAGTTACTAAAAACAATTAACAGAAAGATAATTTACTGGGGGAGGAGGTTACCTAAAGCTGTAACCCTATCAGCAAACCTCTTTAGCTCAAAGGAAAAATTTAAAGCTTGCTGCGAGATACTTCAGTCCTTATAAAATAACAAAGAATTGGGTAGTGGCGTATAAGTTACAGTTACCATCACATTCGAAAATACGTCTTGTTTTTCATGTCAGTTTACTCAAGCGAAAAATGGAAAAGGGCGAGTACCTTCAATGATCTCCAGAGATCATGAACGATGGTCAGTTGAAAGTTTACCCAGCTATTGTGTGAATAAACAGATGGTTGAACACCAAAACCAGACAATAACCCAACTGTTGATTCAATGGATGAATATGGGACAAGCAGAGCCGACTTCAGAAAATTATTCAGTGTTGAAACTTAGTTTCCATATTTCGATCCTTGGGGACAGGATCCTCTGGTGGAGGGGGTATTGTCATGATGGAAGAGGAATTAAGGTTAGAGAAAGGGGAAATTGAGAGGAAATTATCTCAGTTAGGGATTTGGAATGGGGAAGAATTGGAAAATGAAAAAGTTAGAGAAAAAAAAATGAGATTATTACCGTTGGGTTGGGATGGATAAGGAGTTTGGGTCTACTGTTGAAAAACACGGCCTGGTGATGGTGGGCTCGGGTGGTAAATTGTTGAGATGCCCAAATGTTTATGAACATGCATGAGTCAGCATTAGTTAGTTAATTGTTATATTCCAGTACATGCCATCTGGGTACTTGTAAATATATAAATTGTACTTTATTCCATTGGAATCATTCTTACGAATGAATGAAATCATTTCCTAAATCCTTTCTATTCTTTCTGAAACCTAAATTCTTCATCCTAATTCATAACAATTGGTAATCACAGTCTATTCTTGATCCAACTCAAGTTGGGTAAGCAGAACAACATGGGGAAAATAAACCTCTAGAAATTCAAGAAACGAGGAGTGGAGAACCATCCAAGACTGCACCGAAATGGGGAAGAACAGAAAACTATTTGGGAAAATAGACTCAGCAACTTGGAAGCATGTTCAGAAGAAACCAGGCAATGCCTTCAAAGAAACTTGAATCTATTGGCCAAGAGCGCTGAAGAAATGGAGCTGACAACTCCCATGAGCAGTAGAATTTGGATAAAACCCATGCCAAAATAGAATATTTACGAGACTCTCAATTCATTCTTGTGGTCTTTTAATCAAATTTTTTCCCCTCGTTATGTGCAACAATATGCTTAAGAGTCTGATTCGAGTGTTACTAGTTATGCTAAATCAACTCCAGTTCAGATGACTATGAACAACAATTACTTGGAAAAAAGGTATAGATCAACCTTCATGGATACTTCTCAACTCATTTTTATCCACCTCAAAATTTATTTGCCTGAAGAACAAAGGGAATATGATGTTTCTCACGTGTTTGATAAAAAGCAAGTAAGAGTAGAAGACGAATTTCATCGATGTTTAGAGAAATTTATTTTTAGAGTTTATGAATGTCAATACACATGTTGAAGTCTTTGGTCCTTATTTGTTTCATCTTTTGTTGATGGGAATAAGAATAATTCATGACTAAAAGGAGATCGGTTCATTTTATAGGCCGCAATTGTTCTGTCAACAGCAAAAAATTGAGTCGTTGTATTCGGATATGAATTCTTCTGGGTCATGGTTATGGGGGGTCTATAATTTTTATGGGTGTTAAGCTTGTGATTTTGCATGAGGAGAGAGCAAGAAAGTTGTGGGAATTCTTAGAATGCTTATGTTTGCAAAGTGATGACATAAGGCAGTCCAGAAGAAATTGTTATCTCCATCGGGCATATGTGTGTGGAACAATTTTGTTTCCATGCCTATTTTCCAGCCTGCAACAAACCAAAATACAGTAGCTCCAACTACATTCTACAAATTCTGAGACAGTTACCAACTTCAAATTTGGGGATT